ATAAATATTTAGCTCCGGGCTATTACATAATTTTGTCGGTAGTCTATTGATACGCTAATAGGTTCTTAAAATGATAGTTATCGATCATAGACGAAATGTAAAGCAGTTTTCAAATACAGAACCTGAATGTTTGCCAATTTCATTTTTGGAATAACGACTTGGGAATAGTCGTTCCAGAACTATAAGAGCATAATAAATCAATTAGTTCAATGCTTACGTAATTTAAGTTTCAGGTTCTAAGGAGACTATTTAACTTTAATTTTTGGGGAGTGTACAAGAGATTAGAGCCTATTCAATTCCAGAATTTCAGAAAATACTGCAATTTTGTACTGAATGTCGCAACTTGTTAGAAAAACCTGTTTCTCCTTAAGTATTAATTAATTTATGTATTTGCATAAGTAAGTTCCCATATACTTGTAAAAAGTGTAGGGAATCTAAACCAACGCATCAAAAATAATTCTTAATAACTGTGAATAATTTCCTCCTTTAAACTTCTAGTAACTTAGGCCTACCTAGTATGCTATGTAAATTATGAAAGGCGACATGTATATGTACATATAGATATACATAAACAAGTCTTTTAATATTATTTAAATTAATTGAAAAGCTAAATTAATTCTCTTTTTTTGTTTCTGTTGTTTCTGCAATATTTTTTTCATTCTTATGTTAAAAATGGATCATGCCTTTTAGAAATCTATTTTTTTGTTTTTTTAATTTTAAGGTATGTTCATTTTTAAATGTATATAACATTATTTGTAACAAGTGTAATGATTTAACATAAAAAATATTTCATTCGCTCTGCATGGTGGGCTGAATTGGACACTTTTAAAACAACTCCTTTTTCCGAGGAGATAGACTAAAACTAATGTCGGTGTCAAAAACAATACAGCGATTTAAAAATAATAATAATAAAAAAAGCTCTATAATCCTTGTCGATCTCTTTTAGAAGGGGGAGTTTTCATTTAGGTGTCCAGTTTGGCCCACCATGTACATATGACTCGAATAGATGTGCAAATTTTCAACTTTTTTATGATGAACATTAAATTGTACGACCCCGTAGTTTGAAGTATTTCTCGAATAAGAAGTTTACTAACCTTTTCAATATATAAAGGTTGCTCCTTAAGTTTTTTACAATATTGTTATATAATCTTTGTTAATTTAAATGTTTCGGTTCGGTTCCCGACTACGTTTTTATGACTCTGTTATAATTACGTGGTGACTATTTAACTTGATTTGTCTCGCCCTATAAGAATTACCAAACACAAAATAACTCATATTCTCAATACTTCTGGATTGCCTTGAAATAGTTATTAGTTTGGGAGTCAATTTAATTTATTAAAAAAAAAAACAAAAACAAAACAAACGTTCAAACTGTCAATTTAGTTGTATTTGACTTTCTCGGTCATTTTTAAAATATTCAAAATAGTCAATCTATTTTAGAGATATTCACGCTGGTAACCAGGCCAGATGGGTTCGAATATCCCATATGAGATAATTGCAGCAGCCGTTAGAAGAACGGTCGTCATTTTATGACTATTTATTTAGATTTTTTTTTTCAAAGAAGCTTCCACAGGCTACTGTAATACTTTTTATAAAACTTCTGGATTTCTCCTGCGTCGGTTTTTGTTGAACCGAACTAGCTAACGTTTCACCAATCATCCCGTTGGCTTCTTCAGTTTCAGTCAAGCTCTAAAGAAGCCAGGATGATTGGCAAAACGCTAGCTAGTTCGACTCAACAAAAACCGACGCAGGAGGAATCCAGAAGTTTTATAAAAAGTGAACTATATGAATACGTTAAGGATGATGAATTAGTTTAGACCCTTTCATTATGCATCCTTTAGGAATTTTTGTCTATAGTTACCTGTTGTTATAGGCTGGCTGAATGACCTTTTGTAGTCGTGGCCATTAGAGGTAAAAAAAGAAGAATTCATAAAAAGTATATATTTAATCACAAAAAAGTGACGACTCTTTATAAATTCGAAAATTGTATAAGCTAACTCTGTCGCAAAAACAACATAATATTTGGAAAAATTCCTCTGTTGGTTCACCGACTTGAATCTAGATAAAGACCAGTCAGAGAATGTCCTATATTAACGTAGGAATAAAGTAAAGACATACGCATCATTTTTTTTACAACACTATACGTGATGTAACTGCACAATTGCTCTGACTGGAGAATACACTTGTAGTGACAAAGAATTGAATATAAAATTTTGAGTTGTTTTAGTTGAGGCTGTGTCGAAGTCCCTTTTAAACTTTCTCATTATATAACAGATGATGCAATAAAAGAAAGAAGGAAAATCAACATTAAGATACTTATAAAAAATTGAAGTTCGAATTTATTTTTTTTTATCTTTTTTTTATCTGTTTTTTTGTATCTCCTACTTCATTTCCTATTCTTAGAACAGATTTAAAAGGGGTTTAAATTATCTTCACAAATTTCGCTTTTTAAAAATGCAGTTTTCGCTATGTTCGTATCTAGTGCAAAATACCCCTCAACAAAAATATTGAATTTCTGCAAACAAAACTGAACCAGTAAATGAATCTCCAATATCCGGGTCCAGTATTTTCACCAAACGTGAAAAATACTATAAACACATACAATAGATCAAAACCTATCTACAATATTCCAAGGTATATCTCAGTAATCAACGTTTTTGAAATAAATTTTAAATACTTGATTACAAACATAATGACTGACCTGGTTAGCAAATGATTTAATATAGGTAAAATTGCCTATTAATCCATATAACTGCCAGGACGTGGACGAGCTAAAACAAATCCTTTCACAGCCCATCTAGCCAAGACTTACGTTTAGTGTTTTGGTTTTGGAGATATTTCGTAAAATCATTTCCCGAAAACGGTGGGAGGTGGTGAGAGTTACGAAAAAAATGCAATATGTATGGAAGACAGAATATTGATCGCCTGTGGTAGCTTCCAGTATAAAATCTGGCAACTTACTAAGCCATCTACCTATGATATCCCACACATATTGAACCTGCGAAAAGTCTTGTGACCTTGCAGGTCATGGAAGAAGTACATTAGCTTGTTGGAGGTTTCGGGTAATTGCAGCGGAATGGGGTTTGGTGTGGTCTTGTTGAAAAATTAATCTTGCAGTTGCTGCAGGTAATGCAATGGAATGGAATGGAATAGGAATGAGTGTTCAGGTTTCCAGGTCCAAAAAAATAAAGGTGGCTTGCTTTGTTGAGTGTTCAGGTTCCTGTCCAAAAAAAGTAGAGGTGATGTGCTTCCAACTGTTATGGCACTTTCCTTAGCGGACTCTCCTACGAACATGAAAAGGCTACATACAATAAACCGATTCCACGCTCGACTCCAGTGAGTCTGTTCTTGGCACCATGAGAGACGCAGCTGTCTATGCCTATTGGGTAATGGTAGGTCCTAACGAGAATGAGCTGAGAATGAGAATGCTATTCCTATAGCCCATGAGTTCTAATTCTTCGATTAATCCATCTCACGGATATTTGTCTACCGGTAGCTACTCTCCGCCCATTTTCGTTTGTGCTGGTTCTGCTGAAACCATCTCTAAAGGAACTACGACGTCTATATTGAACCACTCTGCCCAAAATGGCATCACTCTTGTAGCATTCCAGTCGGATAAATTCACTGAGTGGCGTGTGACAAGATCGCTCCCAAACCAAACTGACGTATTAAAATTAGGGACACTTTGCGTATGCTGGATCAATCTATAATTGGATATTTTATAATAGGGATTTTTTTTCGGCTATACAATGAACACTCAATAGGGTGATTGATGATTTTTGTTTCATATCGGTGGTTTCTCTGACGAAGAATATTAGAAATTATAGAAATTATACATCACTAAAATCAGAAGATTATGAACTGTTTTTAGGTTTAAAAATTTAATATTACGGGCATAACAATAATTGAGTGGCAGAAAGACAAAACGCTGCAGGGCAAATCTGATAAAATGTAGCAATGAAAATATGCTTTATAATAAATAAAAGTTTGTTGGAAACTCGTTATTTGATAAATATTCCTATTTAACTCGTACCGCCGGCCGGCTTTTGTTATTTCGATATAAATATTAATTGTTTATATGAACTGTATTTATTCATTGAACACTTTTCTAAATTTGGAACCTCGTTACAAAACTAGTAAAATATAAGATAGAATGTAGTACATGACATTTTTAAATAGCACCTTTAGTTTCTGAACTACCAGGAAAAATTAAAATAGGCTGTTTTAAAAATGTGCAATATCTGTATATACTATTTAACAGAAACAAAATTGAACACTCATAACTTCAATTCAAAATTTTATTTTTGATTGACTATATTTATTTTGATTTATAGTTACAAAAATAGAGTGAATTAAAGTTAAATTTTGTAATCTTCGATAGGTAATAATAAATCTACTTAAACTCCAAACTATGACGAATATTGATATTATTCATAATAAATAACAACGTAGCTATAGGACGTGTTACCAATAGACATCGCAAAAATGAAATTTAAATGACACTACCAACGGACCAGAATCGATTTTAAAGCTAAAATGTCTGATATACATCGTTTACGACGTGTGGTATAAAAATATTATTTTGCTGAAAATTCTCATTGTCGAGGCATTATGAATGTATTTCCCATCAAAGCACTATTTTTATGAAAAAAAATAGTGTGAGTCGGACAGTTATCTATAGGCTTACTATTTTCTGAAGAGTTCTGCAAAAAATATAGGCAGATGCCTGACGAGTGTTATATCACAGATAATCATTCATATCTAATTAGAGAAAAGAACTTTCTAAGACTAAAACGAAATCGATAAAACTTAACGAAATTTTAATACGGCATATTGTACGTGTGTGAGTGTGCTCCTCAGAATTTGTTATTAAAAATCTATTTTTTGTTATTATTTTCTTCCATCAATTTGAACCGAAACCTTTCACTGAAATGGGCCCCACCTAGGAACTACTATAAAAGCCTAATACTCTCTACACATCATCATCAGTTCGGTGCAGCTCTCTTTTGCGGTTTTCTTAAGCGGATACAACATGAACGTTATCGTGAGTAATGCGAGCTGTAGTACTATAGTTATTGTAATAAAAATAATGGTGTGGCGGTGCTCTTGTGATACGCAAAAAAAATCGGATGCCGGTTGCATAGTGCATGAAAGCGTTGAGGCTTCAAAAGATTGGAATGACATGTTCCATTTGCATAATTGGAAGTTATTCGTTGAAAAATCTTCGAAAAATGTTTAAGATGTTATGTGATCTTTCTTTATGTCAGTTTCGAAAAAGCTTTCTTGAAAACTGAAATTAATTAATTAGTTAATAAAAAACTGCGACTTTCTCTGTGGGTTATATAAATATTAAATAAACAATAAATGAAGTTCTGCTTCTTGAACTTTTTTCAATTTTCATTATTAATTAGTACCGACACATGTTATCCTTTTATTAATTGATTTTAAAATCATTTTCATTCTCTATGTATATTTAATATTTATATTTTTATGCAATTGGAGATTTTTTACATTTTTTATACTATTTAAATATAATTCATCACAACACCAAATAAAGCAAACGTAATTTTTATTTAAAATGATTGTTATTGTATTACTCTTTAATCAATTTAAAACACACGATTAACAAAAATACAGGCATTTCCTTGACCTGCCTTGATTGTTAATTTAGAATCGTTTATTTCAGGGCACCTCTATTCTCTTCGCTCTGGCTCTAGGGTCCACATATGCAGGATTTGCAGAGAGTGAAGGCCACGGGCTTGGTGGCGACGGAGGCGGCTATGATCTAGGTGGCGGCCACGACCTTGGTGGAGGTCAAGACTTTGGGGGAGGCGATCACGGGTGGCAGTCGGGTGGTGGGGAAAGTCACAGTATAGAACACCATCAGGCACCAACCAAGACCTTTGAACACACCAAAGCCGTACCCGTACACGTTGTTAAGAAAGTGGGTGTACCAGTTCCACATCCGGTAGGAGTTCCAGTGCCTCAAGTGGTGAAGGTCCCAGTACCGCAGCCTTATCCAGTTCACATAAACGTACCCCAGCCGATTCCCATTCCTATTTACAAACTGGTGCCACAAGAAATTGAAAAGAAGGTACCTATTCACGTGGAGAAGCTAGTCCCGGTGTACATAAAAAAGCCATACAAGGTAGAAATCGAAAAACACTACCCGGTCCATGTCTCCAAACCATACCCAGTCCACGTCCCAGTATATAAACACGTATACCATGAAGTGAAACACGAGAAATATGTCGATCATGGCGGCAAAGGATGGCATTAAATGTTAAACGTAACTTATCATCATCCCCATTGTCCCATAATATTCGCCCTCATCTTCTTTCTAAGTCATCCCGTGTAAAGCTTTATTGTTATGTTTTTATACTTTTGTTATTTAATTTTGTTGAAGAAAATTTTTTATAACTTCGTAGTTTCATTTATTAAGAGAAATTCCTTTCACCCAAGTGAAAAAGCAAATTTCTCGTTTTTTTGTACCCGATATTTATCATCGCATGACAATTAGGAGTGACACATCACTTTCCGAAAACAGGAGTATTCGATTACTTTCACTCCGAATGAAAGCGCTTTAGTTATTTATTAGTTTTATTTCAGATTAATTTATAATAACACAACATGCGGACAGTGACTTAATGACAAACTTTCTTGATAACGGACTTTTACTTTCACACAATCTCCTTCGACGATCCGGTTAGACTGGATCGCAGGTATGGTTTCAAATCGTGAGAGACCACTGAAGGAGAAATATCAAAGGTATGTTTAAATAATGTGCGTGTAAACTAAAATCGTAATATGGGCTTAATTGTAGCCGTTTAATAATCGTTGCCGACGACATTGCTCAAAATAGAAAACAATAGCTAATGTATATTTGGCATCAATTCCAATTATTAGTGTAGAGCGTAGAAAAATTGCGATAACAACGGAAAAATGACCACTGAAATTCTATAATAAAAAGTGCCGATTTTTATATTCGCAAAAAAACAAGAAAATAAATATTTTATTTAAAAGCTTGATTGAAATAAAAATAACGATAAAGAAGAAAACTTTATTAAAAGGAAACATACGATAGAAAAAGCAGACCAGTTGGAATTAATTAGCATCAATCTCATCGACAGAGAACAATTGATTCTTTAATATGCATCTTAGAATTTTTAGAGAATTATAATTTAAGCTTTTTTGTTGGTACTTTTACTTCAAATCAGTAAAATCATTGTCACTGCAACTTCTTCTTTTATAATTTTCTTTGTAAAAACATTTCCATAGGTACTTTGAAACTATGAAAGAACACTCTTACTTATTTTTTTGTTTTTTCTGCGTGGATGGTAGTTTAGGCATTTATGGAAAATGTTAGAGGATCGTTCAGAAAATTTGATATTTGATATGCGTTCTATTTGATTACTTTATCACTAACCATTTGCCAATAAGAACATAGTATACAATTTAAAAGAGGTTTCAATTGCCTGCTTTACTAATTTGTAAAATATGTATATGGTGTTTTATTTTAAAAAATACTTTCGGAAATTAATTTAAGCATTTCAATATATCAAAGGACAAATTTGTGTACACGAAAGTACTACACTTGTCTTTTACGTGTTCAAACATGACAACAATAAACAGCGGGAGGTATCTGTTGTCTTAAAAACAAATTCGTACAGGTCTCCCATAACTAACATTAAAAATTTGATTAAAAAATCGTTAAAACTCTTTTTTCACCCTTTTTTTATAAGTGTATTCTGTTTGACATTTTAAAATAGTAACTTTGACTTTGTATATTTCGAAATATTAGCACCAATAATTATAAGCATTACTTATAATATGATATAATTCTTATAAATTATGCCTGCTAATTAAGTTATTAACATAAGTTTTTAGATTTGCTTAACTTCTAGAAATGAAACAAGTTATATAAAAACCATTTAGACATTTGCCGAAAAATATCCAGATGTACAAGAAAAACTAAACTAAACAAGAAAAAAGAATGTTATAAAAATATATATATATATATATATATATATATATATATATATATATATATATATATATATATATATAGAATTTAAAAAATGAATATATTATAAAAATTTGATTTTTATATATTTTCTTCAGAATGTTCGAAATAGCAAAGTGTCCCTTTAATTTGTTTTAGTTACTGTTAGTATTTTGTATATAATGTTTTTTTTTTGTAAAAACATTTAGTAGATTTGAGATAATTTTTTTTTGTATTAAAATAACCATAACAATGACTAAGTTGGCATGAAACTGTCAAACATTAATTTCTAAACTTTTCCTCGCATTTTGATGCAGCGCTCGATCAGGTTTCATTTGGCCATATTTCGTCGTGACAGAACATTTATAACGGAAAAGCGTATAATTGCTAATATTTCTAAATCTACAACAAAGCTTTCAACGACTTTTCAATTTAAATTGCTTAAGTTGCTTGTTGGTCACCATGTATTTATTTATTTTAAAAATATCTTGTATAAGAAAATAAGCTTTTAGTCAAAAAAATATATAGATATAGTTAGACTTGCAAATTTAAATGTTGACATAAAATTCAAAATATATGTAGAATTTTTGGAAAAAAAATTAATATGCAAGGTATTCGATGTAGGATGAGAAAATTGTGCCTTGTGGACAAAACTGCAAAAATATAGATATATAAATATAATATTTCACAAAAGTACGTATAAATGAGTCCAAACAAGGTTTGTTTTTAATTTTTTTACAGATTTTGATATAAGCTATCATCTTATAATTAACGGACCTGTATATAGGATATCCTGTTTCAAATATCAAAGAAGCTGCTAGTTTTTAGAAGAAGCGGGAACGTGGCGTCGCTAAAAATGTTTGCTAAATATATCCATTTAAACTTCGAAAACTTCATTTAGGATTTGTAAAAATGTTGTTCAATTTTTTTTAAACTCCCTAAAATAAAATATCCAATTATGAACTGAGCAAGCGGGTACTATAGTGTGCACGTGTACACACACTAAACACTATCGGAGGCACTTCGAGAGTTTTTAGAATTCTAGCGACGTGTTGGGTGCTATCGGATATTTTCGGTAGGTATTTTAAAGTTTGTCAGATCTGTTGGTTTTGTATGTATTCTGCAATGAATTGAAGAATAGAATACAATAATGATGTTGAAAAATTTTATTGTCAGAAGTGCCAACGTTGAATGCTTAAAGTTATTTCATTTCGTTGGAGAGCATCTAATCTACGCTCGACCAATCGCCCGGTATCTTGCAAAAAAGTGAGCTTCTCTTCCGCAATAGTCTGCGCCGTCTAGAGTAAACAGCTGAGTTAGCGTCGATAATACAATTTAATTAGACGTCTAGTGAAAAAAATGTTAAACTACTTTAGAATTCTTGAGCTGTTGTCATATAAGTTTCATTTTCCGTTGCATAATTGTTATGGAGTCGCCCGAACCTTCAGCATTAAAGCAAATGCTTGCCGATTTCAAATCCAAATATAACACATATTACGATTATCCCAGTAATCGCTTTTGATGTAAAAATTTTACTCTTTAATCCTACCTAGCGCACACTTACCAGAATTGCAGCAATATAATTACAACTTCCTGATAAGCCAACTTTAAAACTGCAAGCAACGCCAGTTTATAGATAGATATATAATTGGCATGGGGTGTGTTTTTAATTTTGCTAGTTTAAAATAGATGAAATTAATATAACATATTTTCAATTTAATAATGTTTGTAATATATTAAAAACTGTTAACGGAGCAACTTATCCAGTTAGAATGGGCCGGCTTAAGGCTTAAGTTAAAGGTAAACATTACGAAAAACTTCCAACCGGCCAAGTTTGTTTAATGTAATCAGCGCCACTATTGGAGAATAAATTCGCGAATATCCCCGTCAGTTTCCGATTCGCTGTACCTCCAAAATGCAACGCGAAGCAAAAATCCGAGTTTAAAATCTGTCAAGCTCCCTCCAGACCCAATACGACACGAAATTCGAATAGAAATATCGTAGCGTGATTTAGCGATGTCAATTATAATAAGAGAAATAACAGACAGGAATTGTTATATGAGAACCCGTAACCGGAGGGTTGGGGTGGTTTTCTGGGAGGGGGTGGCGTCGGCGACGTGCCTCGCTCGCAATAACCGCATTCTTGAGCTCGGAATCCCCGTGCTGACAGCTCGTGATATTGTGGAGACCAAACGGGGCGGCAGGGTGTGTGATAACGACTCCGTTGCAGGAATGTCGTTAGCTTTCCAAAAATAACATTTAGACAGGGTTATTTATGGCCGTGACGGTCTCCCGGTAGTATTTTCGGGACGTCGAGTATGTGCGCACCACCGGGTCCTTCTGAAAAAGAATCTATCTATTTAGAATTATGGGGTGCCCTTATTCCCATTCGCTTGTCTTGTGTCGGTTATTAAAATTGGTTGCCTGTTCTAATAGAAGTCATGAGGTTATTTCGAGGGCCATTTTTATTTGCGGGGAGCGATGCGTACTTGATTAAATTAAAGTTGACATTTTGGAAAAATTTGTTTTAGATTATTTTCAAGACATGCACATTTTTAAATGGAATATGAGTTCCTATTCGGCTCAGAAGGTTACGAACATTTTACGTTTAAAAATATGTATATTTAATTTATTAACTTTGCAAAAGTCCCTACATATCTAGCAATGAAATTGGTCCTTCGATTGTCTTTATCAAATTGAGATGAGATTTGTTTAGTGTTGTAGTTGGTAGGCGTAAAAGCGCTGTTAGACTTGAAAGGCTCAAACCACTCCAGAGAGTAAGTAAGCAATTAAATAGAAATATCACTGAGCTATTTGGATTTTGGATAAGATCAGACTTTTCACGTAATAATTGATTAGCTATTCCACTTTCTGGGTACACACTTTTCGACTTATAGGCAAGGTACTTTAAGATTCTACCTAAACTAACCAAAACTGAGTGGCGTTAGTAAAACACATTTTTTAACATCAATAAAGAAAAGGAACAAAACACTAGCGAATTTAAAAATTCTACTCCTATGAAAAAGCGAGCAAGTTTTAAAATTTTATTCAGATAAATTCCGATCTCAACACTGAACATGTTCGTTCGTTAACAGAAGACGTATTTCTACGTGTAACTGAACAAAATTGGAGTAATTATATTCAACAGGTCATAGAAGAAACCGAAAAATATCCGAGTGACTTCGGTTATTTCCGGGATATTACGGCACGGCTTTGGGAGCAATCGGATATTTTCAGAGATTTTACCGCACGGCTTGAATTTTGACGTTTGTCAATTCTAAAGGTCATGTCAGTGAATGTATTCGTATTGTTTTCCAACAATGCACACCGTGTGCCAAATAAAACGA